GCTCTCTGGATCGCTGAGTGGTGAGATGCAGATGTCCTGGGGCTGGGCTTGGGAGGAGGAAAGCTGAGGCACCTTCACACCCTCACATGGGACCTGCCTGTCTCTCTAGGGGAGACTGATGGTGGAGGTCAGGAGCCTGTGTGGGGACAGATCAGCTACAAGCTTGAAAGAACCGGATCCAGCTAAACTGCTCACCGGCATGGCAGCCACAGCAGAAAGGGTCCTTGCAAGCAGGATCTGAAGGGCTGGAGGGCGCAAGGTCTCTGGGTTCTGAGGATTTGGTTTGGGTAGCCTTTGAACATTCTGGTGTGTGTGTGTGTGTGTGTGTATGTGTGTGTGTGTGTGTGTGTGTGTGTGTGTGTGTGTGTGTGTGTGTGTGTGATGTATACACACATGTACATATAGAGGCCAGAGGATATTGGATGTCCTGCTCTAGGGCTCTGCCTTATTCCCTTGAGACAGGGTTCCTCACTGACCCTGGAGGTGGGCTGGCAGCCACTGAACCCCAGCAACCCTTCAGTCTCCCCCCCCACACACACACAGTTCTGGGCTTACAGATGCATGAGGCCATGCCTGGCTTCTTGATACGTGTGCTCGGGATTTGAACTCGGGATCTCTTGCCTGCTGAGCCGTCACCCTAGCCTGCCTGCATCCCATTATTTTAAACTAACATTCTCTTCGCCTGCCGTGGGTCAGGTGCGCTCTACATGGGCACTGTCTGGTGAAGCAGGAATTATCCCTGTTTTACGATAAAGGGAACTGAAGCTTAGAGAGACTAAGGGACGTGACCACCGGCACTCAGAAGGAGGGCTGGAACCCAGGTCTCAGAGGAGGGTGCACGAGTCCCTGTGTCTGCTTGGAGAGTTTGAGGGGTACTCACCTGCCTCCCTAGCTCGCTGTCCACCTCTTGGAGACCTTCCACCAACTTATGGATGACGGACTCCTCTGAGGGAAGAAAGGAAGGATGAGAAGATGTCCCCAGTGGCGCCTGGCACCCATGACAGACAGACTGCCACAGCACCCATGACAGACAGACTGCCACAGCACCCATGACAGACAGACTGCCACAGCACCCATGACAGACAGACTGCCACAGCAGCATGGCTGTTCAAATAAAGACTGTGATCTCACTCGGCTCCACCTGACACCCGGGGAAACCGAGGACTCCTAATGTCAGGAATGGAGACTTGCCCTCGGAGTGGCCAGCCACAAGAGGAGGGTCACTCAGCTGCATTAGTGTCAGGAAACTCACAGAGAGGTCATTACCAACTGTTGGCAGCTTGAGTCGGACCGAGGTGGGACCATCTACACCCATGAAATGGACTAGCACCCCAAAAGCCTCGTCTGGACCGGCACAGCAGCCCCAGTTTAAAGAGCACACCAATGGTCCCTGGACCCACTGGGGGGGCGGTTCAGCTGCCTTCTCCACTCTTAGGAGCATCCCCTACTCAGCCTGGGGCATCCTGGGAGAGGAGCTGGTGGAAGCTATCCCTGTGGGCGCAGGATATACTAACTAGATTCCCAGGCTCCCTCTGGTAGAGGCTGCTCATCTGGCGTGTGGCTTCTGGCCTGGACAGGCACTTCTGGGGACCCAGCTGGTTCTCCTCCTGCAGCCTCCTGCTTCTGGAACTCCGGGTCTTCTGCACGGGATTGCAGAAAAATGGAGTTAGAAAAATGAGTTAGGCCTCATTCCTTGGGGAGGTCCCGGCCCGGCCCTGCTTCTGAGGGGATTTCAAGTGTTCTCTCTCTGCCCTCTGCTTCCTCACAGTCTGCAGTTGAAAAAGCACATGGACATGCCCAAGGCCCCCACCCAGCAAAAATCACCTTCCCTTTAAATGTGCAAGGCTCAGCCTGGCCAGTCTGATCTTCACATTCCCCCATTATCAGATGGGAATCATAAGACAGACCTCCCGTGTTAAATGAGATAGTACTGTGTTGGTGGTATATACAGCAGGCACTGGGCAAGTACCAGGTTATCACGGCACGTCAATGGCCCTCATGCTTTAGTGAGGTCCCCTTCAGTCCCCTGGTCTGTTTCTGTTAGCGTTCCCAGGTGACATCTAACCAACAATCCCAGATCTAGCAATGCCTTCATTTTTTAAGAGCGAACCCTGAGTTTTCTGGGGGGTGTCCTGCTGAAAACTGGCCCTCTCGCCTCCCCGTTCTTCCCACAGCAGACTTGAAGTTGCCATGGTAACACCAGGCCTGCTCACCTGGGCCGCTGGAGATGGAAGCTCTGTGGCCACTGACACACATAGGCAGGAAGCTGTGCCGTTTGGGTGGCCGGGCCTCCGGGCTGGCAGCACCCGGAGACCCCGAGGCCTCTGTCCTCTTGGAATCCTTGGAACCGTGTTTCCTGAGGGAAAAGGCCCGTCGGAGGTTGGACTTCTTCCCATGTGACTTCACCTTGCAGGCTGGGGCGGGGTTTTCTCCAGCCTCCTCTGCCTCCTGGACTTGAGCTTGCTGTGGGGAAGAAGAGAGAAACTGAGGCAGGGCCCCTGACCTCGAGAAGGTCGAAGGTGAACTGTACCCTGGATAGTGTAACCCAGCAGGAGGGTGATGGTCTGGGGGAGGCCAGTTGGGAGCTTAGGATGGAACAACGGGGTGGGGGTCCCCCAAAGGGCAGGGGGGTGGGGGAGGGAGTCCTCACCTGCTCTCCCTTCTGTTCCTCTGCGTTTTTGAGTAGGGCCAGGATCTTCCGCCTGAATTCTCCTGAGGAAAGAACAGGGTTTCTTACAAAAGCCTCTGTGGCCGGCGCTGGCGTCCGAGGGCCAGGTCTGTACACTGTCCCTTCAGTCCTTTCTCTTTTCTGTTTTCATGTTCTGGAGTGCAGACGGGGGCCCCATGCTTAGGAGGTGCTAATACTGACTGCTACCTCCCCAGCTCCCCCTGCCCCCACATGTCTCCAGATGTGCAGACCTGACAGTGTTTCACACCCAGGCCTGGCTCCACAAACACTGAAGTGTCAACAATGGGTCCCTTCTCAGCCCCTTCCCATCATCACCCAGTTCTCAAGCTGGTCACCTAACAGTAATAACAGCACACAGGAACTGCCATGCCCTGTCCGCCCCCTCTACTTCACAGGCCAAGATTCAGTTAGGACCTTCAGCAACTCACAAGGACCAGCCTTGCAAAAGGAGGAAACTGAGGCTAGCAGGTAAAGTGTGCTCTGTCTCCACGGCCTGCGGCTTCCCAAAGGGACGCTGAAACAGGCCTCGGCATCCCTCTCTCTGCCTCAGTTTCTCTTCTTCAAATGGCAGAGTCAAGACAGGTTCTTTGAGGGGGTCTCTGAGGGGCAAGGTACTAACTGGATTCCCAGGCTCTGTCCCTCGGCGGCTTCTCCGCCGCGGGTCCATGACCGTCCGCTGGGGTGTGAAGTTCAGAGGGATGGGCGCCCCCACCGTCTACAGAGAGGACCTCCTGGAATCCGGGCTCCTCTGAGTCTGGGGAGCAGAAAGGCACAGTAAGTGTGCTGTGTCGGCCACACCCAGCAGCTGGCTCTGAGCCCAGGCGGGTACCAGTGCACCCTGACCTCAGGCTCTGCTGGGCTCAGTGAGCTTCTGGGCTGTGCCGGGTCTGGGGCTCTGTTTGGAGGCCCAGATCAGGCTTCTGCAGCCTCCAGAGAAACCTTTTTCTCTGCTTCTCTGCCCTTTCCTCCCTCTTTCCATGGGTTCCCTACCTAGCCACCATTTTGGTTGGTCCACTGGGGGACAGAAGATGCCCGGCTCCGTGGCATGAATAAATGTCCATGGCCTAAACCATCTTGCAGGAAAAATCCATCCTCTTAAGACCCCAAACCCATGCTCTTTAAGGCAGAAACTCTTCTGGCTACGGTGTCCCTCGAGGCTGGCTCCCGTCCACCCTGATGCCCAGGAAGAACCGATGTGACCAGCCCTGCTCCCTACAACTCTGGCTCCAGCTTTGATGGGCCACGTGACTATGACCTCATCTCTTCACCCTTGATCTCAGCTTCCTCTCCCCTGAGACAAACCGAGATACGGACAGACAATAGGACACAGAGAGCAGTCTGGGACACCGAGACGAGATGACAGAGAGAGAAACGGGGAGGGCCTGGGGCACTCAGCTGGTAGACTGTCTGCCTGGCAGGCACAAGGCTCTGGGTTCAGCTCCTAGTACCTCAGAAAGCGGGAGGAGGTGCATGAGCCTGTATAACCCTAGCGTTTAGGAAGTGGGCAGGAGCACCAGAAGTTCAAGGACATTTTTGGCTATACCAGGGAGTTTGAGACCAGCCTGGACTACGTGAGACTCTGTCTCCAAACAGACAGAAAACAAAAACAAAACAAACAAAACAAAACAAAAAAGCAGTAACAGCAAAAAACAAACAAACAAACAAACAAACAAAAAAACACCACCAAAAAATCAAAACAACAACAAAATGGGTGTGTGTGTGTGTGTGTGTGTGTGTGTGTGTGTGTGTGTGTGTGAAGGGTTCTAAGTTCTAAGTGGTTAAGCCCCCAATGCTCTTCCAGAGGATGCAGCTTTGACTCCCAGCACCCACACGGTGGCTCACAAGTATCTGGAACTCCAGCTCCAGGGAATCAGATGCCCACCTCTGGCCTCCACAGATACCAGACATGTGCATGGTAACCAGACATGCATGTAGGCAAAAACACACACACATAGTAAAAGAAAAAAAAATTGTAGCTGAGAACCAGGGCCCCTGTCTCCGGCTCTGACATGAAAACCTCCTCAGGCCAGCTGCAGAGATGTGGGTGGCTGAGGACTCTGCATACAGTCCCTTCAAGGGCCCAGATGGGCTGCCTGCACCCAGGTGAGGCCATGTGGAGGTGACCAGATCCTGTCCCTTCTCCATCTCCACCCCCACCCCTCTCCACACTGCTGGAGGCCTAGTGTGGGCATCAGAACAAGGCTGGCCAATCCCAGTCCTGGGAAGATCCCAGAGCCGGAGGGAAGCTGAGGTTGCTATGGCAACTGCCGGAGCCCGCTCACCATGGATGCTGGAGGTGGAAGGTCGCTGGCTGCTAATACACAGGGGTAGGAAGCTGGGCCTCTTGGGACGGGTTTCTGGGCCAAGGGCAGTGGCTGCACCCACTCGCTTGGGTTCCTCGGGGGCAAGCCTCTTGAGGGACAAGGCTCTCTTCAGACTGGACTTCTTTTCCTGGGATTTCTTCCTGGGGGGCGGCGACGGCGTTGGCTTTCGTGGAGCCACTTCCGGCTGAGGGACTTGCGCTTGCTGTGGGGGAGGGGAGAGAATGTGAGTCAGGCCCCTGGCCGTGAGGAGAGGGTAAAGGTAGCCCCGGGACAGGGACAGCCCAGAGTGGGTGGCGGCCTCAGGAATTAGGGAGTAAGGGCTAACTGGGAAGGGCAGGTGGGGCACGAACCCGGAGCTGCAGCAGCCCAGCAGGTGATCTCTGGTGCTGGCGCCTCACCTCTTCCTCCAAACGGTCCCCTGCTTCCTTGAGCAGTTCCACTATCTTCCAGATGAGTTCATCCTCTGCAAGAGAGCAGGGGTACCACCACGCCTAAGTACACAGACAGTGTTCGGATCTGGACTCCCAGTGTGAACATGGCCAGTCTGGTTCCCTCGGAGATCCACAACAGCTCGGTAGAGGCTTTCCAAGGGAGAAGCCCCCTCCTCCCCAGGGCTAGGATTATAGGTGTGCACCGCCACACCCCATTTATGGGATGCTGGGGATCTGCTGCCAGCTTGGTGTATGCCAGGCAAGCATTCTACCAACTGAACCACACCCCAGCCCGGCCCCTCTTCTCTATCTTTTTAAATACATTGGAAGGGATCGAAAGCAAAGTCGCGTGCCCATTGGCGCGGAGGCAGGAGCATTGCTAAGCAGCCTTTCTAGTGCCTCTGCTTCCCTCCGGCTAGACTCTAAAATCAGCACACAGTGCCAGGAGCAGCGGAATAGGCAAGAAAGCTGGGCGTGGTCCGAGACTCTCCCTGCTAGGGCTCAGTAGTCACCCCGAGTGGTCCCTCTAGTTTGCGGCAGCCTCCCACCCGCAAGGAGAGAAGGACCTTAGCCATCTGGACTCACGGTCAGGCTTTGGGGGCTCCTCTTCTGACGGGGGACCTGCAGCTTGGGCAGAACTCTCTGAGGATTCAGCACAGCCTCCCTCAGCGGGCAGAGCCGGGGGGACTTCAGAATCTGGGCTCCCTGGAAGTCAGATGCGTAGACGCCAGGGTTAGTGACACCCCACTGACCTTGTTAACCCACAGAGTGGATGCCACAGAGCGACGGGCCAGGCAGCAGCCACCCCCAAGCCTTCCCCAAATCAGAAACTGGCCAGGATTTCCAGGTGCAAAGGGGGCGTGTCTCAGGACGGGCTCCCCTCCCACCCGCTCTCGCTCTCATGGGAGTCACAGTGTGGTGGCACCAAAGCCTCCAGCATACCGCCGAGGCCTCCGGGGGAGCGAAGGGGACTTCGCTCCACATCCCCGGCTGTGGGACGCCTGGAGGCCTGCTCCCTCCTTTCATCACGGAGGGGTGAAGGCTCCAGGCACAGACACTGCAGAAACCATCGGAGCACCTGGCCGGCGCCCATAGGCCCGCGGGGTGGGAGATGAGCTCCTTCCATTCTCCCCAAACCTCATGGCCTTATACCAGCTAGTGTGCGCCCACACCAGGCACTCGTTTGTGTGAGCTGTGGGAACCCATGCGACAGGGACGATTTTATCTATTGTTGTAGATGGGGCGGGCAGGGAGGGGGCACATTAAGGCCCAGAGGGCAGTCCCTGGCCCCAGGCCACACAGCATGTAGAATGGTGGCCCTCCCACGGGATCTCAAATGCTCAGCTGTTCAACCTCATAGAAATGTCCCCCACTGTCCGCATCTGATCTCAGTTGAGGACATTTAGGAGATAAACTTAGGGCACCCTGGTCCTTGGGGTGGGACAGTGGGGTTACCCTACTCGGCTCACCCCTGCGGATCAGCCCCAGGTCCACCTCCTCGGTGTGTGAGGGAGCCAAGCTGGGCAGTGTGTCCTCTTGGCCTTCCGCCTCTGAGTTCCGGGGTCCTGTGGGCTCAGGCTTCCGGTGACTGTGTTTCTTGCGACCGCTCTTCTTCTCCTGAGATTTCTTCCTGAGGCCCGGCTCCTCGGCTGCCTCGGGGAGCTTGCTGGCCTCCCCTTTCCCCTTTGACTTCTTGCTGGCTTTTTCCCTGGGCTCCTCCAGGCCAACCCTCAGGAGTAAGATGTTCAGCAGCACACTCATCCAGCTCTGCTGGGCTTGCTTCGGGGGCTTCTCTTTCTTGGTGTCTTCTGGGGGTCCCGGCTCACTGGGGAGAAGTTCACTCTCCTCTCCCAGAGGGAGGGCTGGGGCCGCAGCTCCCTGGGCCTCTGCAAAGCGACATGGGCTCCCAGAAGCTCTGGTCCCATCGCTGGCTGCCCGACGAAGCGCCTTCCTGTAAGTGGGCCCGGAGGGGGGCTTGGAGTTGGAGGACTCAGGGTCCTTCTTGGGAACCTGCCGGTCCAAGGATTGGGCTCTCTTATCTGCGGGAGGCTTCCTTGGGACCCTCGGGGTCTCCGCTGGGCTACAACCAAAACAGCAGCTCCTTCAGTTGAAGAGTCACCCATGCCCCCTGCGCGCGGGCGCGCACAGACACACACACACACACACACACACACACACACACACCTGTCGCCATGACGCCACCCTCTCCTGGTGCTGCTTTCCAAAGCTGCCGACCTGTTTAAAGTCCTCCACAACCCCACAGGGAAGGGGGTCCCGACCCCCATTTTCCAGAGAAGGAAATGGAATCAGATTCTCCAGCCGGTCTGCGGCACCGCCAGAGTGGCCAGAGGGACACAGACCTGTCATCATCTCCCCTCTCCCCAGGCGATTTCGGGTTTGTCAGGAGACCTTTGTCCCTGCAGAAACAGGACCCTCACACTCCTCCTTGCGAAATCAAAGGCCGGGATGGCAGCTCACAGAGAAAACCCAAACACAGGCCCTGGGCACCCAAGTCTCTACATGGAAGGCTCAGGAACAGCTGGGACCACCTAAGGTGCTACAGCCGTGAGGGAGCAAGGAGCGGGGTTGGGGGGGTGGGGGTGGGGTGGAGGGGGTTGTCTGGGTGCTATTTCCTCCCCCCCTCCCTCTTTTCTTCCTTTACTTCATTGTTGCTTTAGAGACGAGTTCTCATAACCGTAGCCCAGGCTGGCCTCGATCTCTGGGTCATGCCTCAGTCTCCCGAGGTGTACGGTCATGCCTGACCTGGCCCGTTTCCTTCTCAGGGCAGGCAAGCTGTGTTACGATCTGTGCCCTTTCCCATATGTGGCATTTCTGTTTTCAACACTGGGGCGGGAACCCAGGTCCTTGAACACGCCTTGAACATGGGCTACGCCCCTGCGTGGTCTCCTGTACGCTTCTTTCCCGCCCACCCCCCTTCTATCTTTATTTTGTTTATTTTTTTCAAGACAAGGGCCTCTGTGTAGCCCTGGATGTCTTGGAACTCAATGTGTAGACCAGGCTGGCCTCAGACTCACAGAGATCCTCCCAAGTGCTAGAACTAAGGGTAGGTTACCATGCCCAGAAAATTTGGGTATATGTGTCTGTCTGTGCATGTGAGTACATGTGTCCAGAGTCCAGAAAAGGGTGTTGAACCCCCTGGAGCTGGAGTTACAGGCTGTTGTGAGTTGTCTGATGTGGGTGCCTGGAATGTGTGTGTGTGTGTGTGTGTGTGTATATGTATGACATAATATATATAATGCCATGAGCTGGCAAGATCGCTCAGCAGTTGAAAGAGTGTGCTGCTCTTCCAAAGGACCCAAATTCTGTTCCTAGCACCCACCTCAGACGGCTCACAACTGTCTGTAACTCCAGCTCCAAGAGGATCTGATGTCCTCTTCTGCCTCCATAGACACCCCCACATGGCAGATATACACATATCCACAGTCACATGTATGGCAGATCACACACACACACACACAATTAATTAAAATGCTATACATTTAAAATAAAACATCTAGATTTACAATTCCCTATGTGTGGGATCTGTGCAAAGGGCACGAAAGGATAGCAAACAGTGGAAAACTGCTGTGGTGAGCACAGGGAGATTTGAAGGTGACACCAGGTGACACCTTCTCTCCCTCAAGCCTCTGTCTGGGGTGGGAGACCTGGACCCCACAGCAGGTCACCATCATCCCGGGCCATCAAGACCCACCGCACTGCTGGTGTCACACATGGACCATCCTGAAGGAAGTGAGGATGTCCTTGGGCCAGGGGAGGAGGTGGGCAGTTTGGAAAGCAGCGCTGGCTGATGGTCCTTAGCGGGAACATACGGGCCGGGTAGGCAACACTGCCTGCACCTCACGTAGAAACTGGCTCCTGTCCCTGAGAGCCCCAGAGTAAGATGCCTCCCTTTTGTGTTTCCAAAATACAGCTCTGGGTGGGATAAGGAGGAGAAAAAAATGGAGGAAAATGTTTGACTTTGCCCACACTCAATAGTGATGCCTCTGGGATACAGTCATGAGTAAGATGCCATGTACATCTAAAACAGAACGTTCTGGTGTTTAAACTGATAAATCTGGGGCTCAGAGGGCATGAGGGCTTAAGAGAAGGCAGATCTAGACCAATGGACTACTACCTGACTATACTAATTAGCTCAAAGGAAGTTGAGCCAGAAATATTGACCAACAGGGGCTGGGGCTTCTGTTAGCCAGGATAGCTGTTGGATCAAATCCTGGAAGCCGTAAATTACGGAAGCCATCAATCACAGGACACAATCGTCAGCTCAGGCCCCTCTTCTTCCCTGAGATGGCTTGGCTCAGGGGTCCACCCCAAGTAGGAACACTCCCACCCAGCTGAAAGAAAGGAGCAGCCATCTTTAAAAGGGGGCAGTTGCTATGGAAACGGTTTCCCCCAGCGTGGAGATGAGCTCCGCCTCTTCCTGCTGCTTTGCTACTTCACCACACCCACACGGTGCCCCAACGCTTCCCAGTGAAGGACCACCCCAGGGTCCCCACGACCTCCTGACCTCAAGCCATGACTTCTTATTTGCCAGCCTCCTGCCCAGGATGTCCTGGCCTTCAATCCCATGACCACCTCCTGGCAACTCTTTCCAGATGGCCTCAACTGACTAAACTCATCTCCACGCTCCCCCGCCCCCTCTGCCTGCTCCTTCTCTGGAATGTTCTAGAAACACTGTTCCAGATCCAGGTCAGGGGCTGGCCAGAGTGGGTGAGCCTGTTACCCCAAAGAGACCTTCTCTGTTGGATAGTCTGTTTTTCCTGAGAAGACAGTGGTCCACTTCCCCATGTTACATGGCCACTGATCTTTCTAGGCTCTCAGTGTGAACGTTTGCCCATTTAGGAGTCATCGTGGACTCTCTCCTTCCTCTTCTCTGTTTTGTTCACACGTTTGGTCACTGCCGGGGAATCCTGCCCTGGCCCAGACCAGGAGCCCATAGCAACCCAGGCACTGGTGTAAACACATTTATTGCATGGCTGAGAGCTTTGAGAACAAAGTCCACCGGAGCCAGAAATGCCTGGGTGATGCGTGGATCGCAGGGCTTAAGATAGGAAAATGGCTCCGGCGACTCATTTCACAGCCACAAAGGACCAAAGAAGTCACACCAAGCTGGCACGGTTTTCCCCAGCACGAGGCTGTGTTTGGCATATTTTCTAAACTGCACTCTGACCTCATCAGTACACTGGCCTGGCCTCACATGCCACAAAGCACGCCCTCCTCCACCCCTGTAGGCATTTGACACACACGTCGCCTCACAGATACCATGGAAGGCCTTCAGGAGCACATCCTGTACACTGCCAGCCTGCCCTAACTCAGAATGTCCAATACTGCCTCTGTTTCGAGTGTAAGAGGCTAAAATCGCATGGCCAAGCTTGCTGCCGCCTCATATCTAGGACCCACAAGGGATGCCTGGCCAGCGGCTTCCCTGCTGTTCCCACCGCTGGCCAGGCAGGCCCTGAGTAGTTATGGAACAAATAAATAATTATACACACACTGTGAGTCCTTTCACCTCTATGATCTCATCGACTCTGACAGGGCCCCGAGAATCAGACTGTCTGGCATGGGGAACTGAGGTCGTAAGTCACTGGCACACGGTCAGAGTCCCAGAGCTGGGAACAAAGAGCTGGGCCTGGGTATTCTTCTGCCCGTCCCGTTCCAAATCCCATCTTCTCACTCCTGCACCAAGTAACCTCTTCTTAACACAATGCACGTGCAGCCCCCACACAAGATTATGGACCCAGAGTGGGCCTCACAGCCCCATGGCCAATGACTCTGCTGAGCTCACGCTGTCTCTCATGGGCCCATGCCTCCCACAGCTATCCGTCAGGCCATGAAGCTTCCCAGCAAGGGCCAGGAGAAGCTAACTGCAAATGCATCATTCTGGACTCCTGCGATGGTACCCACACTTCCACAGCTCTTGCCTTCCCACCTGCTGGGTAGTGAGGTGCTCCTCGGAGACCCCTGGGCCTCCACTGGCATGCCTGGAATGGGAGACGCGGTGATCTTGCTTTCCCAAAACTCTGGGCCTGTCCTGTGCCACCCCTGGCCCCACTTGATTAAGTGGTGACGATTCAGGGCCTCCATCTTTTTTAGAAGTAGGGTCTTTCTTGCGTTCCTACAAAGTGCCCAGCACACCCCCTGCAGTGTGGGGATCCTCCAGACCCGTCCTGGCTGGTGTTCCTGAAACCTCTGAGGACCCCTTCCTGCTCAGAGGCAGGGTCTGAAGAGAGATCACCTTGGGCTCAACGGAAGTCTGTGGTGGCCTTCCTTTACACAATAGAAAGAAAGCCACCAGGCCCGCACTGTTCCAGCCTGTCACCCCAGTTACCCCAGGTCTGTTGGTGATCCCTGGCTCCCTCACACCTGAGCACCCTTCTCGGATGCTCCCAGCTGGTCCTTGTACACTTAAACTTAATTGTGGAGGCCAGGGGCAGATGCGGGTGGGCAGAGGCTCCTGCCAGAGTCCCAACCTCTGCAGTCCCAGAGGGATCAGCCCAGTGCCTTCCTGAACACAGCTGCAGGTCCCAGGAGACCCCTCAGCAGCCACAGAGCACTGTGGTGGGTCAGCTAGACTGACCGGGGTTCTCTTCGTCCATGTATAAGTATGTGAGTGTGTGTGTGTGTGTGTGTGTGTGTGTGTGTGTGTGTGTGTGTGTGCAGGGGTGTGATGTGGGGAGTTGTGTGTGGTGTGTGTATGTGTGGGCTAGGGGTGTGCAGGTATGTGGGGTTGTATGTACCTCGACACACACGTGGAGGGCAGAGGACTCATTCTTTCATGCTTCCTCTATGTGGTTCCAGGGACTGAACTCAGGTTGTCAGGCTCGGATGTCGGGCAACCTCTACCGGCTGAGCCATCCTGCTGGCCCCTGTTCTGTCTTTTTGAAAATAAGGCTGGGCAGTGGTGGCGCACGCCTTTAATCCCAGCACTCAGGAGGCAGAGCCAGGTGGATCTCTGAGTTCGAGGCCAGCCTGGTCTATAGAGCGAGATCCAGGATGGGCACCAAAACTACACGGAGAAACCCGTTTCGAAAAAAACAAATAAAAAATAAAAAAATAAAAATAAATATAAGGAAAAAGGTCCTAGGAGGCTCAGCAAGCCAGAAGCAGAACCAAGTCTGGACTTGGGGTCTATTAATAGTATGTCTAGCTTCCTTTCGGGGCCCTGAAATACCCACCCCTTGCCCGGGTTCACACACAAGGAAAGGATTTAGCCCACCTGAGACCACAGAAGTCGCTGCTGTCCCGGGGCATCCCTGGGCTGGGATTCCTGGAGCGGGGCATGGCCCCTGTTCAGTAGAAGTCCTGTGTGGGTCGGTTCCTGTGCCTCCGGGAAGAAGCTGCTGCTGTTGTGACAGCATTCACAGGGTCTCAGGACTCCTGGGCTGTATATATCACTGTCTCCCGGGGCTGAGCTCACAGGTAGCCAACCAGAGGGCAGCGCCGGCCCAACTGCTCCACCTGTACTGCCCGCCCGGGCTGCTTCCCCCTC